TATATACCATGCTTAAATCAGACCGAAGACGGCGTAATTCAAGGTTTTCTAGTTCTAGAATTTCAAGTCTGGTGGCATAAGGTATTCTACAACGAGTAGAAGAGTGGAGAACTCTCCTTGTGGAATATTTCTGGACTTTCTCAATTGTGCTAATATCAGATACGTAATGAGGGTTCCAGACTGATGAACTGTATTCAAGTATTGGTCTAGCAAATGTTTTGTATGCTCTGGTTAGTAGTGTGATATTACCAGAGAAAAAGCTACGTAGGATTAGGTTAACAACTCTTAATGCCTTTTTGGCTATGTAGTTGCAGTGGGCTCTAGCACTTAGATCATTAGAGGTGAGTATTCCAAGGTCCTTTACAGAGCTTGGGTCATCAACAAGTTCTTGACTATTCAGCTTGTATTTTATTTTCTGATTTTTTTTTGCCAATATGTAAGACAGAGCATTTATTTGTTGAGATTTGAAGTTGCCATTTGTTTGACCATTCAGATACATAGTCGAGATCTTTTTGAAGGGTAGCAGTATTGTCTGTGGTATTGAACAGCTTTACATCATCAGCGAAGAGAACGCAATTGCTCTTAATATGATCGCAGAGGTCATTTATGTAGAGTATGAAGAGAGTTGGTCCTAGAACACTGCCCTGGGGGACACCACTATTGACAGGTACTGGATTTGATAGGACGCTCCCGATTTTGACCATTTGTTGTCTGTTTGACAGGAATGCTTCTATCCAGTTATTCAGTTGTCCAGAGATACCATAGGATTTTATTTTTAGGAGTAGTTTGTCGTGTACCATGAATTTTTAAAAACTATAGAAACCAAAAATAGAAACAAAAAGGAATAAAACAAATAGAAAATGCATAAAAAGAAAAAAAGAGAAAGAAGAAATATAGTAAACAAAAAGAAAAAAGGGCATGAACAATATTAGTAACTTATCTTAAAATACAACAAAAGATCTCTTTCCAAATCACATCTCTTATCTATCAATTAAATTTTATTTCATCCTAGACCAGCAAATAAAACAAGAAAATTGCCATCGATTAGGGTAAAAAGAAAAAAAAAAAGCTTCTAAAATATCTAAGGATTAGAAAAGAAATTATTGCATACTGTATAAATTATAGAACAATACTTAGCTGTAGTCAAAGAAATAAAGTCAGATTGATCTGTTAATAACAACTTCAGATAAAACAGATCAGAATGAAATCCCTTAAGTGACGGCTGGTGAGAGGGCACTGAATCTAGCCAAGGATAAAACCCTTTCAAATTTGAAAACGTTATGTAAATGTTGAAAATGTTATGTATCTGGCTGGTTGAAGACGCCATGCAGAGGAGTTCAGAAAGATGTTTCTAGATAGAACTGATAAATCTACTTGTAATTCTAAATCAATGACTCACTATTTGAGACCAGCTAATGTGCATTCATAACTCATCACGGTGATTGCTACTCATGAAAAGCCATAAGTAGCAGTTTTGGCATATATTGCCTGGCATCAGGAAGGCTATCGGTCATCATTAAAGGGACTAAGCCAGATGAAAAAAAGGACAACTTAAGCCAATTTGAGAAAATGAAAATACAGTTAGAAGTTTCTATTTTAAATAGAACAGCTTCATGGAAAAGCACCATACTCAGAATGCAGAACTTGGAAAATTGATCTAAAAAACTTGGATTGCACTTCAAAAAAAAGGTTGACCAGCAGAAGACCAACTCAACTCTAAAAAGGAGCTAACCTTAGGTTTCAGCAGAAAAGAGGTATTTGTTGGGCTTCTTTGGAGATGTAGAAGCATTGTAAAGCCAACACTGTATTTTTGTGCATTTAAGGTAACATCATCAGCATGGAATTTACGTAGTATGGAAAACAGTTCCCAGATATATTTAAAGGTCTTCACTTGCCTTATTGAATGATTATTTAGCCATCAAATGTATGCTTTAGGTACCTAGCAAAAACTGCAGCCTTAGTTTTATAGTAATTAATTTCTAGATGCTCAACAGGTATATGGAGCACCTGTTTCAAGCCAACATGTGTGAGAGAAGCAGCATCTACATACAAAAGAACAGGAAAATGTCTATTTGCCAATTTTTGTGGGTGAAAAGATGGACTATTGAATTTGTCTATAAGGGAATTTATATAGATTAGAAAGGCTAGAATATATACTTATCTCATTCCCTCTTGAAGGAGTTTTCTTGGTACTGTATCCTTTGTACATTACATCAAGTCTTAATCTAGGAGTTTTCACTTAACTTGTATATGAGTAATATTTTATCAACTGAGGAAGAGTTTAATCACCTCAGTATAGTTAACAATATAGGTGAATAGGGAAGCCAAAATGAATGATTACCAAGTAATCTAAATCTTTGTGAATGATCTTTTGTTTATAAAAAAGCCTCATTGTTCAGTTCTAGTCAACAAAAGTCCATTAAGGGTTACCAGAGGTCATAACGTCTATTTTAACGTTGATCAAATAAAGCTTCTTTATGTTCAATTTATTTTTAATGATCTTTAATTCCTTCAAATAAAATCTTAGAATTTTATTCCCTTTCATGTTTTTCTTTGTCCCTTCTCACAAAATCTTTCAAAAGTTTAACAAGACTCTTTTGTAAATCCAATATAGGAAAATTATCCAGGATTACTCTCTTGGTTTGATATTGTGTATCCCTTTTAATTATTAAGACATCAGCTAGTTTTGTTCACATACTCAATGTAGCATTTTTTTCATATCATTCTTATAGCCTGTCATTTTCAAACACAATTTCAGATCTGTCTCAGACTTGCCTAGTAATAGTTCCTGTTTCCTTTTAAACATTTTTTAAAACATAGATTATCTATAATGGCAGACACTGTTAAAATTGATTTCTGGTCCATTGTAAACAAATATTATTAATTACATTCAATGTTAATGTATTTTGCTCCATTCTGCATCAATAAATCAAATTTAAGTGTTTCTTTCATCCTAATATTTAATTCCTCCTGGTTCCCTCTAGTGTCCTTTTCTATCATTTTTAAACAATTCACAGCAACGTCACCTTCCTATGGGAAGGATTTTTATTATTAATTTCAAAAACCTATTTTAAATCCACTTGGGCCCTTCATCCATTTGTAACTTTCCAAAATCAATATTCTAATCACTTTTGCTGTTTATGTTAAAACAAACAACAGTCAACTTGTATTTAAAACCTCTTTTGCTAAGAATAGAAGGAAAATCACCCAGTCTTATATAACTTGTTGATCCAACGATTCCTAATAACTGCAAAGCAGATAACAAATCATTTTTGTCAGTTGATTAGACAAGGAAGTCTATTGGAAGTCTATTGTCCATAAATATGTGGTTTTAGCAAGGTAGTTATTCCCTCTTCTCCTGGAACTCTAAAGCCACCAGAGCAGTGGTGGTATTCTAAAAATTTTACTACCAATTATGTGGGTGTGGCTTGGTGGGTGTGGCTTGGTGGGCATGTCAACAGAAGGATACTGTAAAATCCCATTTCCACCCCATCCCACTAACCTGCTTTCCAGCTCTGTTCTCCTGTGCGGGGCAACAAAAGAAGACCCAGCTGATCAGCTGGGACTTGGGAGCCAGAGAATAGATGGGGGCGAAGCCAGCCAGAGGTGGCATTTACCGGTTCTCCGAACTACTCATAATTTCCGCTACTGGTTCTCCAGAACCTGTCAAAACTGGCTGAATACCATCTCTGCACCAGAGACCATTGTCTTGCAGACTCCTCGCAGGGAGCACTTGTGGGTGATCTCAAGTCCTCTCCCTGTCTGGAGAGGGATAGGGATATGAAGAGCCGGTCTACTCATAAGCTGTTCATTCTGCTGCATTTGTTGGCGATCCTCTCAGCCATTTCTTTCCTGGAAGTCCATTTAGAAATGTTATGATGATGATCATTCAAATGTATAATTAAATCTGTAGTAGAATGCAAATTTTATGGAGTAAAACATAAATTAGTAAATTAACATAGAGACAGAATGCAAGAGATTTATAAATGGGCACATGCAAATAATTAAAAACAAAATAATTCATATATCTCTCAGTAATTTGTCAGTAAAACTTAGGTGCTTAATGAATTTTATAATTAAGTTTAAGAGAAAAAACATTTAAAGCTGAAATAGAGGAAAGTGTGCATTGTAAGTAATGGTCTATATGGGTTGTTGTTGTTTCTTTATCTTTTCTCCTGATTTTTAATTCACAGTTGTCTTTCCTAATTTTAATTCAGTTTTGATTTCTATTTTTCCTTGGGTAAACAAATGGAACAAAGGGTACATAGATAGTTTGGTACATGTAAAACTCTATTAGCATCTGCAAAGAATATTATGTGTATGTTTAAGGTAAAGGTTCCCCTCGCACATACATGCCAGTTGTTTCCGGCTCTAGGGGGCAGTGCTCATCTCCGTTACAAATCCAAAGAGCCAGTGCTGTCCGAAGATATCTCTGTGGTCATGTTGCCGTCATGACTAAACGCCGAAGGCGCATGGAACGCTGTTACCTTCCTACCAAAGTGGTTACTATTTTTCTACTTACATTTTTACATGCTTTCGAACTGTTAGGTTGGCAGAAGCTGGGATAGGTAAAGGGAGCTCACTCCATTACACGGTGCTAGGGATTCGAACCGTTGAACTGCCGACCTTTCTGATCGACAAGCTCAGCACCTTAGCCACTGAGTCACCACGTCCCCAATGTGTATGTTTACAAAGTTATTTTTAACTCTTACGTTATTTTGTTAGAAAATGGTCCTTTGTGACACTCCATGGTAACTTTCTCTTAATGTTGACAAATTATGATTTATGACCTTACCATCTACCTAAAACTATTTTTGCATTAACAAAATAATATCAGAAGAGTACATTCTCACTTGAAAATACTCACTTCTTTCCTCGTGCTTGTTGTAGTGGGATATTTTCCCCTTGGGATAGAGGAGTGGGTTAAGTTTCTTTGAGAATGTTAAGAAAATCAATTCAGCATGACTGACCAGGAATATATATCTTATTTTTCTCCACAGGAAAAAGCTCAGCATTTACAGAGTGTGCTTGTCTCTCAAGTAGATAAATCCACACAGACTGAAGTTGTAGGCCACGATGTAAGTAACCACACTTTACAGGGATTTTTCTCATTTATCTCCTGAATTAATATTTAAATCTCTACCCGCCTCTTTTTTTCTTGCCACTTCTGTGCTTGTGCATTATTGTAAAAGTGGGCCACCTCATTCATCTTTTCCTCTTAAATGATTTCTAAATACCTTCTGCAACTGAAAAAAAAAATCTATGTCTGCTGGCACACTATGCTTCAGTAATTATATGTTTTATCAACTGCCTTCTTCCATTCTCTAAATTTGCTCTGAGGTAAACATGAGAAAATTTACCAGCAGAAGTTGAAATCATTCTATAGACATGTGTATTTACTTGCTTGTCAATAACCAGATGAACTTATTATGCTTGTAATCATCAGAAGCTCAAATCATTTTCTTTTCTCAATCTTATTTTATAAAGAGTTTTAGATTCATATTTTAATCATTGGGTTTCAGTGGCGAATATTGTTGGTAATTTAACCGAAAATAGGTTTTCCCTGGTGAGAGTATGAACTGTGACTATTAAGAAAATGTTCATGTTGGTGGAACAGTTAAAAGGCTCTTAGTTTCTCCTTGCTTCCCCTTTAGAATCTGCCTTCAAAGAGTATTGGTAATCAAAGTTTGGAGAGAAAACCTAAAACAGAATTATTGTTTACTTAAAGAGCATCCAGTTGTTGTCTGCTGCTTTTTGGTATCCTCAGTCTAAAGTAAATGTCTGACCTTTGATGTTAGCTCTGTCCTTTGATGTGGATTGCTGTCTTCTGTTTACTTGTACAGAATTTCTCTTTTTCACATTTGGAGTGAACTGCATGGAATAGCTATATGTGGATTGGTGGGGATTTTTTGTTTGCTTGTTTGTTTTTATGGGGATTTTTTTGTGTATAATGTTCATTCAATTTAAAGGATCGCCTTTTCATTAAGACACAAGGGAATTGGAGGACATTCTATCTTAGCACTCTGTCCACATGGGAAAATATATCACCTGCATATACCAATTTTTACCTCAGCATTCATTTGTGGGGTTGCATCATGGATTTGATTGTTCACACTTGGATCATTTTTCTATCTTATCAGTAGCTACCAATGATAAAGGTCTATAAAAATATTTATATTTTTCTATAATTTCAAGAAAATGATATGTATATATTTATTATACATACATTATATCTCTGCATTATATCTGTATAAAAGTTCTGTAAAACAATATTAAAAACTGAACACAGTACATCAGAAAAAGCAATAAATTATGACAGCCAAGAGAACCAACAATTTTACAGTAAAACACAATAATAATAATAATAAATCTTCAACCTGCAGTCTGACTGAAATAAATAAATAAATCAGAAGCAAAACAAGATTACTTCAGGAAGAATGTAACGGATCTAATTGGAAAGGAAACATATAGGAAGCGCCATTACTGAGATAGAGTTGATTTCCCCCCCATGAGTTTAAGATAACTGTTTTGCATTTATTATCCATTTTACATGTTTTGTGAATTCAATGTGTTGCTTTCATGTTTTCCTAAATCATCAATTAATTTAAATAAAATAACCAGTTTTGTAGGGATTTTTCAGCTGCATGTTAAGTTATCTGGTTAACCAAATCGATACAGAAGTTTCAAATCACCAATGGGAAGTCATTGTTACTATGACTTTTCTATTATTTAAAATTGGTACATTTTTTTTTCTTTTTTCTTTTTTAAACGGGCCAGATGTACTTTGAGAGACTTTGTCACTCTAGAACTAATTTTGATTCATTTGAAAAAGGTTGCCTGTTAAGCAGCTTATATAGGATATTTTGGCCCATAGAGTTTTATTGTCTAGTTCAAAACAGTGGATGTTTATGATTTCATGATGTCTTGAAGATGTTGGCTAACATGTGCTTTAAAGTTTTATACACTAAAATGAAACACAGTGGAGTTTTGTTATTTTCAGAAAGCTTTGAACAAATTCTTCCTTTAAAGAATGGATTCACAAGGTTGATATGCTCAGCTTTTGTTCACCCTATATTTGGACTCATTTTGGTTTCTTATCAATGTACTTTTTTCAAATGATTATATTCCATTTCAATTCCTACAAGAAAGAGATGACTTTAAGGGTACATTAGACATCAGAGAAAGGAAACTTCTAAATAAGCTAGATGTGGATAACTTAAGTTATGTACATTTAAAGTTTAGAAACAAGGTAGGTTTTTTTAATTATAGTTGTGTTCCAAGACTGAACAGACGTATTGAAATATTCACTACAATATACAATATTGTATGTAAAAGTTTGATCATTTTCCTAAAATCTGCATCATTAGTCCTTTTTTTTTTCCCAAGTGGCTGCAAACGTTAGTAATATCAGTGTTTGTATCCCAGACAAATAATAATAATAATCTAGGCTACAAAATCCGATAAAGAGTGGTAGTAATTCAGATGAAGAAACAATTTCAACATAGTAAAACTGAGGGGAAAATGATGGGGTGGAGATGGAGAAAGGGCTTCATGTTTATCAAGTTCTAATACCACAACAAAAATGATTTAAAGACAAATCTAATTAGTCAAATTTCTGTGTTTATTCAGTAGCTATATATAAACATGAAAAGCAAAGCTGATTTCTTCAACTAGAAGTGTCAGTTTAACTTTCTTGTCCTTGCTTTATTTTATTTTTTTCAGAGATTGCTTCCATAGAAGATCTACGTTTTATTTCTTTTTGGTCACTTGATTTATTAAAACATGGAGATTAGGGAAACCATTGGGTTTCACTGCATTGGATGGTGAAAATGCATGAATGTTACTTCAAGTTTTTCATGGGGAAACAGATGGGGGAGATCTGTAATGCTTTTCTCATATCCATTTGTTTTTCTACTTCTACAGCTATGGATTTCTCACTTCACAATATGATGGAATATTTTGCTCTTATTTGTTGAAGTATCTGCTCTCAGTTGTTACATGTGTTGTAGGGTGTTTTTTTTCTGAGATGGTTTAAGATGCATACTCAGTTTGACTGTGTCCGTTATGAACCACAAGAGTCAAATATGTGCTGTAGGCATGTTGGGGGGGGGGAAAATAAGTGGTAGTAAATAGTAAATAGTTTCTGATAAAGTCACTTGTAACTGTTGATGGTATTCTTGGAAGCTTTGTGGGTGGATTTGAGTCACTCACTATCGCACCATCCCAATCTATCCCAGTTTGGTTTTTTGGGGGAGGGGAGAGAAAATCAGAGAAAAAACTGTGTGCATTCTTTTTAACTCCTGGAGAAAAAAAGCAAATAAATCCAATAAGGAAAAATCAGAACAAGCAAAGAATATTGGTTTGCTTCTGTGTCCCAGCCAAATTCTCTGACAATTAAAGGATAGCTATTCAGTGCTTTGTGCATCCATATGTGCATACACTGGGAACATCTGAGTGTTTAAACCTATAAATGAAATTCTAAAATAGTCAAAAGTGTCTTTTTGCAGCCGAGCTCTAATTAACACATGCATTAGCACAGTTGCCACTGCTGTGCTTTCTGTCTGCTAATTTTTACTAAGTATTCCAAAATAGCTACTATTAGCAGGAGTCAACAACATGGCATCTGACAAATGGCTCCTCTAATCCTACAGATGTACACTGATTCAAGATTTTCAGTTTTAACATAAGGAGGGGAAAAAACATAGTTGAATTTCTTTCTTCTTTCTTTTTTAACATAATTCACAAGCATAAAACAGCTCTTCTATAAATATAAGATTTGTGGAAAGATTCATAGGCAAGAGCTGACTATGATGGTTTCTCAGGATAGCCTGGATGATCTCATTTGGCTTAATATTCATAAAAGCCACAATACAACTTCAAACCAATAGAGAACCCTTTTCCTTGGACCCTTGAAATTGGAACTCCGTAGCCTATAAACACTGTGTGTCCCCTTCATTTATTTTGTCTGCAATTCCAGTCGTGTTATCTGCTAGTAAACATGGCAGCAAGCAGACAATATATTCCTGTAGACTGTGCAGCATAAATCTCTTAAAGCTAATGAGCTGTTCAACATAATGTACAGTTCAGCTCTTTTTTTCCCCCTTTCCCTGATGCCTGTAGCACATTTTCACAGCAAAATTTAAAGGCTAGATGAACTGATATACAGCATTCCCTAGAGGTTCCCTAAAATTCACTGGAATAGTTTGTCCTTCTCATCTGCTGGTCAATGAACAAAATGTACTCCAATTCTCTTACTTGTTCCTCAGAGGAACCATCTGGATGTCTCTGGTATATTCCCCAAGGAGAGGGAGTTGGGGATGGGGTGAGAGAGGGAGGGAGGGGGGAGGAGAGAGAGAGAGAGAGAGAGAGAGAGAGAGAGAGAGAGAGAGAGAGAGAGAGAGAAATTGTACACAGACGAAAAATGTAATGGGAGTGGGAGCAACTGTTTTCTTTAAAGCAATGTTTTACATTTTGACCACTTGGAATAAGAACCACCATGTTTTCCCCATTACACTGAGAAAGAGATAATAAGAGAGTGAGTATACAGTTTGTCCTGAGTACAAGAGTATAAATCTCTTATTACTGTAAAAAAGAGTGGCCTCTTTTGTTATGCACAAGCTTGGTACATTTGTTTAACTCATATATTTATATATTCCAAATTTTGGGTACAGTCTCTGTTTCCAAACTGCTTTTCCATTTTTAAACCAGATTATTTTTTTTAGATGTTGCTAAGTACAGAGAATGAATTTATCCAAGCAAGTTCAACAAATGCACAAACAACCCTTCAATGCTTCTCTTCTCCAAACCATTTTAGCAATATGAATATAATACTAATAATAAATATTAACCCAGTAATAATGTGGCATCCATATAATATTTATATTTCTTCTATGATTTTTTATATTTCCATCATAGTGAAGTTGACAGCCAAGTTATTTCTAAGCATTTTCTAAGATGTCCAACAAGCATTAAAAATATAACCTTATCTTGATATCTTAAAAACATGCTTAATATCTATTGATTTATTAATATATAGTTTTCCAAAACTTTATTTCAAGATTCTTGCAAATAATTAATA